CAGGGTACCTGGTCTTGTCTCCGCCCCTTATGTAATAAAGACCGCTCACTGCTGCTCTCTCTCCTTGTGCAGGGTGACTGGTCTTGTCTCCGCCCCCTCCTGTAATAAAGACCAGTCACTGCTGCTCTCTCTCCTTGTGCAGGGTGACTGGTCTTGTCTCCGCCCCCTCCTGTAATAAAGACCAGTCACTGCTGCTCTCTCTCCTTGTGCAGGGTGACTGGTCTTGTCTCCGCCCCCTCCTGTAATATAGAACGGTCACTGCTGCTATCTCTCCTTGTGCAGGGTGACTGGCCTTGTCTCCGCCCCCTCCTCTAATAAAGATCGCTCACTGCTGCTCTCTCTCCGTGTACAGGGTAACTGGTCTTGTCTCTACCCCCTCCTGTAATAAAGACTGGTCACTGCTATGCTCTCTCCTTGTGCATCGAAACTGGTCTTGCCTCCACCCCTCCTGTAGTAGGTGGGGCCTGCTGGCCCCTCCCACAACACTGCTCTATGTACAGCACTGTGATGATGCCCCTGCCACATCCCAACTGATACAAAATGTATCAAATATCCCTCAATGTCAGCACAAAGTATCTATTGTATCCAAGTATCAGTGCAAATTATTTATTGTTTTGACTACTATAGATACCTTGAGCTGACATTGAGGGATATTTGATACAATTTGTGTGCGCAAATGGGATGCACTGCAATTAGTATAGTGATCAAGAGTCCAGGTTTTATCTAGAAGGGGGTTTATTTGATTGCAGTATTTGCAATCATCGTTTCACATATGGATCTCTCCCTATAGCCGCCATCACTACGAAGAAATCTGAGTGGTGAAACGTTGTTAGGCGGGATGGATCATTGGTGTGACCGGGATGGAGAAGCATCAATAAAGATTTCATTCGGTGGTATCCACGGTGTGTGGCATCTTCCCTTTGCACTTGAATCAAGTTGGAGCACAGATGAGCCTAGTAGCCTGCACCCGGAAGGTTATCGCATGGTGGAGTACTGTATGGGGATGCAAACATTGATGTGGGTTCTATTTGTAGGTTTTATGTTTCGATTTGCATAGCGGTTAGTAGTATCTCCTTAATAGACCACATCTAGAAGAATCCTCCTACCCTACTTCTACTTAGTCCTTTGGGCACAAAGTGAGACGCAGTTTCCAATTCCCTCATACTGTTCATTAGTCAAGAGGGCAACTATCCGAATTTCCTGGTATTACGTTCAACCCATCCATAGAGCCAAAAATAATACCCCGTCCTGTTCACTGCCACTTACTATCATTTTGTTCTCAACACCTCATCAAATACTGGCACCATGGTTCCACCTACTGAACCATCCAGAACACCATCATGCCAAAGAACTTGCTATGACTTTAGCCTATGCTGCAAATGGTGAAGGGATCTCACTGTGCATTCACCACCAATGAACATTCTAAGAGTTGTAAGAATATTGGTCTTGGTCTTACTAGGACCCCTGTAGACACTGGCATAACTTCCGGTGGTGTTTTCCAGCATGAATCAGTTCCTTGTCAACAGTTTAGAGTCATCATTGCAATCTAGCTCTCCCAACAAAGGGTTGCTGATGATAGAAAGGCTGACGTTCTCTATCATGGCCACCACATTGATTCTTGTTACTCTGAATGGGGTCCTGACGTCCATTCTGAGGCCCTATGAAGAAGGACAGGCAACATGTGCACCTATGGTCGTAATCAGAAATGTTGGTGGTCCTGGTCCATGTTTGTCCTGTTCCGGGATCGAGTCAGCTCTATTCATGGCAATGTCCAGCAGGTGACAAGGAGATCCTTATTTGAAGTTCCCATAGGTTTCAAATGAATCCAGATAACTCTGAGCCAATGCATAGCAGAATGTGTACTGTTCCTGCAGAGATAGAAATGGACATTGGCACAAATGTAAATATGTCATATAAGCCCACAGATACTTTGAAGTAGAACTATGGTCTCCCATTAAGAATATGTGCTGCAGCACTTAAATATAAGAACATCTGCATCTACAATTTTCTCTTAGTCCCCTCACAAATACCTGTTGGTCCTGCCAGTAAAGTCCACCCATTGCAGCTTCCTGTGATGGGGTGGCAATGATGCTGCACTGCTCCTGCATTCAGAGCAGTTGTCACCCTCATGTAGGATATGCCTGCTTGCACTACAATGGGATGTGATGATGTTACAAGGGATGCGGCTATCAGCATTGTCACTGCTGATTCTCAAGCATGTAGCTTTTGAATCATCACCTGACCACACATAGCCCCACCCACTGGTTTCTGAATGGACAGCTCTGCCGCTGTTGCTTAAACCCTCCCACTGTGAGCTGCAGTGTCTGTCAGGGGGAGCATATAAGACACAAATGAAGGAAGATTTGGCTCAGTCATGGAAGGTAGAGGACATTTGTTTGTTTAATTTATGAGACTTGTGCATCACATAGTAACTGGAATTGGTTCTTGTTTAAACTGGGGCCTTTAGATGAATTTTATAGGAGAACCCTGAAGTGTTTGGGTCAATTTTATTTTATAATTGTTTTAGGTTATTAGGCCTTTAAAATGATGAACTGATCTTTTATATTGTATTTTACATATAGTATTTATATACTGTATGTATATATATATATATAAACAAAATCGTACATTAAAACAGAGATGTACAAATCCCAGAAGCTCCGTGTGCTCCTTACAAATGACAGCTGCCTCCTAATTTTTTAATTTTTCTCTAGTGTAGTCTTGGAGCTCAAATGTATCGGTACATGTACTCGTACTTGTACCGAGTACTGTACTTGGTATCTGTGCAACCCTAATATACGTATATAGACTGTTTTACTATGTTATTATTATTATTATTATTATTTATATTATTGCCCTTTAAAGTGTATGCATGGCAAATTCTTTTTTGGGGTTGTGGATAGAGTAAGGATAGGTTGTATGTATTTTTTGCTATCCTTTTCCTGCTGGTGAGATTTCCCTTCACTACCTGTCCTGGAGACAATACAATATATTTAAAGGGAGGCAAATTCCCTTCTTAGTTGACACTGAAACAGGTGTCCCAATAGAAGATTTCCACACACCACCTTTTCTTTTGACAACTGTAACATTTGTGGTTTCCCATCATTTCCTGTCTTGGTATCAGTGGTTACCATGATATATAGAGATCAAACCCCCCAAAAGGGACACACACACCCAAAAAGACTAGGTAGGGCTCCTAATTCGTCCACCCTCCATCCAGGAAAAATGTTGGCTACATTAAAACAATTATAAATAAAATATACATTTTCCTGAAAAATCTGGCTATAAATATACAAAGATTATATATTTGTTTTCCTTTCAGTGACTCATAACAATGAATGTACATGCCCCTACGGTATACAGTATCATGTGGGCAGTGTGTATGTATATATCATACCACATTGGGGATGAACTGGTAGCGTCTCCTCCGTAGTGACCGCACAGCCTGCGATACATCCAAACAGCCATCACTGCGAATCTGGTCGCAGATTACGACTCCGGCGCAGAACAGACCTGACCGGCCGGCCCCGTCACTGTACAAACACAATGGATAGAGAGAATGAGATGTAAGTTTTCCACATTCTAACACATTTTTACTGTATTGTGAGGAAAAATAATAATATATAAATAATATTTTTTTTTAATAAAAGATAAAAATTGTATGTATTTATAATTTCAGGTCTAATTTTTTGGCCTTAAAGATCTTCAGGAAACAAATGTATTGTCGATCGGGAGCCGGTAGGACAGGCCCCACATGATCAAGAAATCCATGAAAGACAAATGCTGCACACTGTTGATTCTGGGCCCTACTATGGGTACAAACAACAACAAAAACACACGTGTTGTATCCCCATGCACATCAGGAGTAGGGATCTGGACCAAACTAGGTTGGAACTAGAGCTTCTCTGAACCCAGAAGGAGCACTTCTTGAACACCAAAGGAAGCTTCTTCCATTCCCCCCCAATTTCCCATTAATTCTCTCCCAGCAGCTTGACATAAGCAAAGAGTGGGATGCACTTACATAATTTAGGGGCATCCCAAGGCCAGGTGTCACCTGGTCTCTAGAACGGGTGACACTCCCCCGTGTCGACATCACGCTTGCGCGTGACATCACCTTGCGCGTGACATCACCTTGCGCGTGCATGACGACGTCATCGCGCATGCGCGGCCATCTGATTAACGCCTGCTTGGTGATGAACGCTGGCAGAGAGAGGAGGGGACATTCACCTGGTGGGATGGGGTATGCCGCTGGGTCCCCTCCTCTCTCCTGCCACTGTCAGGCTCGACTTTTTAGAGCGGGTGACACCAAAATGACTGTCAGTCACTGGTGTCACCAGTGCAATGCTGTCACCTGGGTGCGGGTTGCACCCCCCTTGTGACGCCACTGACATCATTGACCTTATATGGTTACATGCCTATAATTGGTAACTGGCATAGACCTAATACGGCTATGTGGCCATATAAGGTAAATGATGTCAGCATAAGCATCCTGCCCCTTTTTAAAAATGCGGGGAATGCCTGGCCTGCAGCTGATTGGGTGGAAGTTTACATCACACTGCCTTGTGAAGAGGAGCTCAGGTGCAGACCAGATTCGATTCAAACCTGAGTCCACCCCTAGAGTAGGAAAATTTATTTTGGGTTGGGTTTATTTTTGGGTTGGTTCATATGGTACTGCTTCATGGTAATGGCAAGAAATAAACAGCTAAAGTTTAAAGATTCTTTTTTTTTACTATTTTGGGCCAGTTTTCCTTTATCAGGAGATTTCTATTAGCATTTATGTCCAAATGATGGCCCCACTTGCCCTGAACCAAACAAGATATAATTCACCTAGATACACTAAGCAGTTTTTTTAACAGTTTTACTAACACATGGCAATGTTGCCAAACTGGCTTCAGGCATTAAGGTCTGTTACTCTTTGTCATTAACCAGTTGACATCCGCGGTGTTAAACCCCCTTCCCATCCAGGCCATTTTTCAGTATTCAGCGCTGCGGTACTTTGACTAGTTAAACATGTCTGCTTTGTTCATCTCCGTTACAAAGATCAGTGGTTCTCGGCATTCGTGAGGCCAGGACCTGGTAAATTCCTCCAAAACCTTCCATGCCCCAAGAGTTAAAAAAAGGTTGTCCTTGACACCGTGGGCCCACTGGAAGTCGGTTAGATGAGGCTGGGCATCATTCAACCCAAAAGATGACCTGTAGTGGACAGCACTACTGAGGAGGTGAGTTCAATGGGTCATTGATCAGTTGTATGCAATCTGCAACTGAACTACATTTTAGGAAGCCGGCGGAAGGATACTTAACTGCACAGCAGCCCAAACAAAAATATGAGGAGATAAAAATCAATCGAATATCAGAAACTTCCCTGTCTGGCCGATTTCAGCCACTCGCCAAAGGAAATGCTCTGCTTACCAGCAGGTGACCATGATGTGGCTGCCTGATGATCGCTTTTGGCACTTTTCTGCTTCTTCAACCAGGCTGATGAGGGCTGCCGGATTCTCTGGAAGAGATCGGTCCAGTGGCCACGAATCCAGCTGGAGCAGTCTCACCTCGAGGCTGTCCTCAGAGGGCTAGAAAACAACATAATTGACCATAAAATAAGTAAATCAGTCTTTGTGTGTAATGGATTGTAGACAAACTAGCTCGCTGGCTCCCTCTATTGGTCCCCAGTTCTTCTCACCCCTTTACTCCTCCTCAGGTTGAGCGTTGAGGCTGTGTATCCATTTCCTGGATTCCTTTCCGTTGTTCTGACTTTGAAGGCACCATAAGTCGTCTCTCCTTTCTCTGGCCAGAACCTGAGACCGTTCTACATGAAGTAAAATGGTTAAAAACATTATTTCAACTTTATTCTTAAAATCCTCTACGTGAACAGTTTTACCCACCAATTTAGAATGACAATAAGCCAGTCGTGACATTCACACTGCATAGCCTGAAGGGTGACACCACTGATTCCTGCAGTGCGACCTGCTCGTCCATTGCACTGTGAAAGAGCATGACTACCATGCTGAAGCCTTCTTTGTAATTCCGTTTGGCTGCAAGACCCTTCTAGATCTGAATTTTATTATATATATATTATCAAGTACAGTACTCGGTACAAGTACGAGTACATGTACCGATACTTTTGAGCTCCAAGACTAGACTAGAGAAAAATTCAAAAATTAGGAGGCAGCATTTCTGTGACAGCAGCTGTAGTTAGGCTCTGTTCACACCTAGGCGTATCGAATAACGCGCATTTCCGGGGGCTAAGCGGCTGTATCTCAATGGAAACGCGCAACAAAAACGCCGCAAAGAAGCTCATGTACTTTTTCAGGCGTAGGCCGTTTTGTAGCGCGTTCAGACGGGCTGAAATACGGCAAGGTGTGAACCATACCCATAGAAAACAATGGGATTGTCATGTTTGAGCGTTTTGTAGAGCGTTCGTAGAGCGTTGAATGCGCTACAAAACGTACAGGTGTGAACCAGGCCTCAGTGACAGCTGAGACAGATTACAGCCCCACGGTCTCAGTGATCACACAGAACAGACGAAGAACGAACGTTCTTTGTCTGCTCTAGGGGCTCTATGATGAGCTCCTATGCCGTGGTCACGGGTCCCCCAGAGGAGCGGGGGACCCTGAAAACCACGGGGGGGGGGGGGGGGGGGGCCCGGAC